GCTGTGTCTAATATTGCAATATATGCATTGCAATGTTTGCATGTAAAACCATCTGTTTCAATAATTAGATAATAAAATTATTATTTAATCATTAGTAAAATTGATATTTTTTAATTGCATACTCTGAAATATAAATATTGCAGAATTGTAGAAGATTAATATTTTAAGGACATCAAGTGACACGAGATAAATTAAAACACGAGAGAATAGTTATGTCAATACTTATTATTACATTTTTATAACAAATAATAAAATAATTTTAAAAATATGTATCACATACTTTCCATGATTAATACTGTTCCAAATATAATTTAAAAGCACAGCAGAAAACAGTCTACAAGAATAGCATTCTATAGAAAAATAAACGGAAAAAAGTTGGTATCCATGGAGTGACACAGTTGAACACAGCATTTTAGCTGTGTACAATTGTGTCGACTTGTGTCGTAGTTGGAAAGCACCGAAGTGTACACAGTGTTACACAGTGTCGCCTGTGTACGTAGTTAGAAAGCACCTGATATTTGCATATATTTTGAATAAATAATTTTTAAATTTTTTTTTTTTTGTATTATGCTATGTTAACGCTTCTATTCAGTGTCTATTAAACTATTATTAAAAAAACGTTATTACGTCTAGAACGGACAAATGCTGTGAGAAAAGTATTGGACAGCTAAATTTTTCATGACAAATTAAAAAATGTAACTGAAGTGCGTAGACTGACAGATGAGAAATATTTTCAAACTGTTCAACAAGATGCTAAGGAATTTCTTATACGGCTTAGTGATAACATACAAAGTGTAAAAATTATTATTGAGTATCAATTAACTACAACTTTGCGATGTAAAATATGCAGATATACGACTATGAAAACACATAGTAATTCTGTTCTTTTACTGCACATTTCCAAAACTATATTTCCAAACCTAATTTCTTATATTTTTTGTTTAAAACCTTTTTTTATAATGTGATTAATCGCGGAGATAATCGTAAAAAACTCTCAGTATTTGCTCTTAGCGTTCTACCATAAAAACGATTGAAGTTATATGATTGAAGATTATAACCTTTTGTGTGGAAAATTTAATTTCCTACATTTTTTGTTTGAAAACTTTTTCTCTAATGTGAATAATTTCGGAGATAATTGTGAAAAACTCTTTTTTTTAAACATGATTTTGCTCTTCATATCTTCAGTATATTCAATATGCCGTAATCCAAACTTGACATATGTTTCTTATGTAATAGTCTTTCATCATGTGCAGTTTTACTTCCGAATTTTGGATGGGTCATACCGTAATACAGCCAAATGTCTGTTGAAATGCATTACAGCAATATTACGGTGATATATGAAAAAAATCACTGGCACATTGCCTTGTAAAACAAAAATTAATTAAAGATTTCACTCGAATTAATCTCTTTAAAGGTCTGATTCAGTTTACCGATCAACTGATCAACTTGATGAAAAATACCGGAAAAAATCCTGAGGTGATGGTAGGATTTGAACTCGAGACTTTCATATTCGTAGCTTCTGCACTCAGTCCGCGAGACCACTTGTTCTTTACTGAAATGTAATTCTTTTATCTACTCATTATCAAGCTATTCTACACATTTTATTTATTATGTATTGGGAGTACAAATTAGTTCGGTCCGTTTTTTTGTGTTCAAAAATGCATTTATTTCAAAACAAAATAAATGAACAGATTAATTAAAGTATTGTTCATCGCTGGCTACTACGTTTTCCCATCTCTCAGGCAATTTTCGAATTCCACCTCAAAAAAATGACTCGTCTTTGGAGGCGATTCAAGTTTGGAGCCAATTTTCGATTTCTGCGAAAGAAGTGAACCGTTAACCTGCCAAGTCGTGCTGCATCCTTCGGAACAACCAGTAATCAGAAGGAGCAATGTCCGGAGCAATGTCCGGAGAATACGACGGGTGCGGTTGTGATGGGACGAACCCTATCAATTATATACATATTATATTTCCTTTTTTTTATGCTTTATATTATTATTATAACCATTATTATTATATTGCTTTGTATTTACTACTATAAGTATTAAAAGTTTCCTTTGTATTATAAAGAATAACCCCGCTATAGTTTCTGCGACTCGATTATAGCCGACTACGAAAACAACGCACACGTGTGCGTCGATCCGCCGCGCTATAATACCTGCAACGTGCTTATAGCAGCACCGCGCAGACACGCGTGCGTCAGCCCGCAGGTGCGTGCCACAGCACGCAAACAACCGCGTCCCACACGCCGACCATAGGCCACTCCGGGGTATAAAAGCCGACTGATTTCAGCAGTCAAGACCTATTCCTTTCCCGGCGCTCGAGGTGTTGATTCGAAAGCCACTCCTACAAACTGAGCTCGAGGTGCTGACTCGAGACTCTTATTCCGCTACCGCTCTCCGAGAAGTTGACTCGGAGATACCGTTCCAATCTCGAGGTGTTGACTCGACTTCCGACCGTTCCCGTCGAGGTGTTGACTCGACTTCCGGCACTCCGAGGTGTTGACTCGGCCGCCATACCGACCGTTCCCGTCGAGGTGTTGACTCGACTTCCGGCATCTCGAGGTGTTGACTCGGCCGCCATACTGACCGTTCCCGTCGAGGTGTTGACTCGGCCGCCATCCTGACTGCTTCCGTCGAGGTACTGCCCCGACTTCCGGCGCTCCGGCGCACAATCGGCCGTTGTAACCGCCACATTGTTATCCAGTTCTCACGACTCTCGGAAACAATCGTTCTCACAACTCAACCCTCCACACTGTATATAAGGCCCGTGTATATATCTTCCCCACCGAATTAGAATTAAGCAATCACCGCGCCGACGCGGTTCCCGCCGCTCCGAAATCTACCGATCGCGTCTATAAAATCAGCGCGTAAGAGATTCATAATTACAAATTACCGACCGAATCTCCGCTGTAATTTAGATAACACTAATCAAACAAACCGACAAAACCGCATTGTAAATATCTAATAGAATAAACCACAATACCTTACAGCATTAAAACAACCGAGTGTCGCAATTTCTCGCCTTCCCCTCTCCCGAACCTTGGCAACGACCGAGCTGTCCGGCAGGCGGAAGGCCGGGCGAAGCCGATAGAAAATCGGCTCCGTTATACGGTAAAACATCCCATTTAAGCGTTTCCAAATATATTTTACGACTTTTGCGACATGAGGCCGAGCGTTGTCATGAAGAAGAATAACTTTATCATGTTTTTGCTCGTATTCCGGCCGTTTTTCTCGCAATGCAAGACTCAAACAAATCAATTGTAGCCAATACAGATCGCCTGTAATGGAATCGTCAGGTTTCAGCAGCTCATAGTAAACAACACCCTTTTGGTCCCACCAGATATAGAGCATGATCTTCAAACCATGAACGTTCGGCTTTGATGTTGATGTTGAGATCGATGGCAAAGATTGACCAGGCTTAGCGTAGTATTTTTTCTTCTTGGGGTTGTCGTAGAATATCCACTTCTCATCTCCAATCACATTCCGATGCAAAAAATATTTTCTTTGTTGCCTTTGAATCAGCAACTCGCAAGTGAAAAATCGCCTTTCAACGTCTCTCGGTTTCAGTTCATAAGGCACCCAATTTTCTTGTTTTTGAATCATTCCCATGGCTCTCAATCGTACAGAAAAAGCTTGTTGAGTTATTCTCAATGATTCTGCAAGCTTCTTTTGCGTTTGACTCTGATTTTCTTCGAGTAATGCCTCCAAGTCTTTGTCTTCGAATTTTTTTGGCTGTCCAGAGCGAGGCTTGTCTTCAACTCTGAAATCTCCATCCTTGAAACGTCGAAACCATTCCCTACATGATTTATCAGTTGGAGCAGTGTCACCATAAACTTTGACAAGCATTCGATGGGCTTCAGCTGCACTTTTCTTTCAATTAAAGCAGAAAATTAAAATCTCCCGCAAGTGCTGCTTGGTTAACACAAAATTCGACATTTCAAACACAGTAAAAATCAAGGTTTTTGTATGAAACTCAAAGCGATATAACTTGAATATTAGTAGCAGATGTCTAACCTCTCTGAGACCGCCAAAATCAGCTGTCACTATGAACCATTTACAACAGCCGGAGCCATCTTTTAGAAACGGACCGAACTAACTTGTAGTCCCAATATTTAAGTTATAAGTTTATTAACTATTGCAGAGCAATGTACCTGCAACAATGGATAAAAATATTATTATTAGTAGTATTATTATTATTGTTATTAGTGTAATTATTGTTATTATTAGTATTATTATTAAATATAATTTAATGACGTGAACAACTGTTTTATTAACATATACTAATTATTATAGTTAATTCTTAATAAATTTGGGCGTGTTCGTACAGCAGCTAAGGAAAACAGCAGCGAGAGGTAAGCAGCCGGGACTGTAGATAGACCGGGAGCGCTATTGACGATTACGCTCTTTCTGGTATCCAAAAAGATATATATTTTCTTCCAACTATTTACATTCTTTATACAGCAAGGTTCTGGCAAGACCCGTTTAGTGTTTATGTGATTTAGTTGTTTTCTGGTGAGCCTGCAATGTCGACGGTTATGGTTATGATCCTTTCTGCTCCGACATACTCCCTATGAGCTGCTTGACTGCCGTGGTGAGCGCTGTCGGCTGCGGGATCTATGATGTCTTTTCTCTGTAGACCTGTGGTTTTTGCTGCGGATCTCGCCGGTGATCTCGGTCTGGACGGCCCTTGTTTTCCGTGGAGGTGTCTCCCAATCACTGCTGTCATTGCGAGTACTCCACTTTGTTAGAACGCATAAGTAATTTGTATAATCATTGTATTTAGACACTGAAGAAGACCCAAATTTGAGGTCAAAACGTTTGTTATATAAAAAATTTTTTAATAAAGAAATTTATTGAAGATCTGGTTTTTGNCTCGTATTGGCCACTTCTCTCTCATTATAACATTTTACAAACAAGAATACAGAATATAAGATAAATATATATTATATAACTATTAATATATATTATATAATTATTAATTCTTATAAATAAAATACATGTAAAAGCAATACATATGTGTGTTATTTTTTCTTATAGTATGATAAAATATACTATTACTGTTACTGACATATAGTAATACATATTTAATGATTGTTGTGACGCGTGGTGTTCACGTTTAAATACCTAATTAACGTTAATATTATCGTAACAGTTTACAATTTAACATTTGATATATCATTGAAGAGTAAAGACCAAGACTAGTATTATTTATATTATAGTTAATGATAGCTTGCAAGACCATGGACTAGAGAGAAACACGTTAGTAAAATAATTACATAGCTCGATAAGCTAGAAGATGCTTTATTCGGTTCCCAGCAAACGTCTAACTTGCAATTATGTGCAAGTTGACTAAATTGCCCTTTGAGAAACTCCCAATCGCAAAGACCTACTTGGCAGCCATTGTATCGTACCAATTTTTCAGCCAGATAGAACATTACTTTATTACGATTAAAGCCTTCGTTGCATCTGTAGCAAAATATATTTAATTAAAATAAACATTAATTGAATCTCAAAATAAATGACAATAAATAATAATCTTTTGTGGGAGATGCACATATTTTTACTTGTAAAATACTGCTACAAGATTTGCAGCAAAAGAAGATATCAAAGATGTGCGCCATTGTCTTTTTGCCATGTCTCTGAAGTTGTAGGCAGTCAATTGGTCATGATCTTCATTTATGCCTATTATGGTCAGCAGATTTTGCAAAGCGACTACATCACTAAAGTAAAAGATGCCAGTTGGTTCTTCCGAGATTTTGTTATGTGCTATATTCCTGATAAAAATATATAAATTAACATAATATTTCTTATAATTTCTAATTCGAAAGGATTACAAACAAACCAAATTATATATATATAAAAATAAAAAATATAATATAAAACAATAAAAAACTTGCTGTAATACCAGAAGTGTTTCATCATATCGTGCAATAAAGGACATCCCAATCGAGCATTGATGTCCCGTCCGTAGCCAGCTTTGTAATAATAATCGAGATCCTCTCTATATTCTAGAATATAAAGTTCTTCCTTGCTAAAAACGGCGCACCAAGGTGAAAGTGTGGTAACGGTCCAAGCTTTCTCGTATCGACATGTGTCATACATAGCATTGATTAAGTCTAAAACAAATCAGATAATTTTCTTAAGTATTAGTACATTTCGCGCGATTTCAATAATTATATAGAATTATTATAAAAAATTATTTTAGACGTTTGATATTACTTATTGAACATAAATTATCGATACATTTAGTATGATTATATATACACCAATAGAAATATCGTATTTAAAACCGAGCCGTCGGCTGACATTTTTCAAAAGATTCTGAAATTCCGATCCGTTTTCGAAGTTGTTACGTTCCGTACTTTTAGTCGACTGATCCTCGCTTTTTACATTTTCCCACAAAGCGCATGTTTTATATGTCTGCAGAGTTAATTATTGATTAAAATAAAAGTTTGAGCGAGCTTAAATAGAATAACACACGATAAAAACAAACTCACAGTAAGTAAAGTGTCATTATTGGAAGTCTCTTCGTAAGATACGGCGTGTCTGCTTCCAAATAAACCCTCCATAAAAGACATCAGGCTCTCACGTGCTCCGGCAGTTTGAAACTGAACAAATTTTAAACAAAATCGTCTCATTTCATTAATTAACATTAACATGCAAAATATGATTGTGAGGATGTGTACTTTGTAATTGGTAGCTGTGATATTGCTGTCGTTAGGTTGCAACAACTCCGGGAAGTTGCTCTGCAATCTTCTGGCAAGTAGCTTCATGTCCTCCACCCCTTGCGGCGTCAAAACTTCTGCCCGTTCCGGCACCAAGTAAGCATTTGGATACCATCTTCGTAGATTTTCTAGATCACGATTACACATGTGACCATCTATAAACGACGGTTGATGCATTAAAAATGTGAAGTAAAAAATATATAATACACAGAGAAGGGCCAATATGAGCCTTGAGACACAGATGTCAGTGTGTGTAAAAAACTCTTCTTTATTGAAATTTACGTTTCGATTTTATTTTGAATTATACTCAGAAAAATTATTTAAACCTATATGATTTACAAAGCAAAAAATCAAAGATAACTTACATATAAAACAAAAATTTTGTTAATTTAGTTTTGTTTTATATGTAAGTTACCTTTGATTTTTTGCTTTGTAAACCATATAGGTTTAAATAATTTATCTGAAGATGATTTACAATGGAATCGAAACGTAAATTTCAATAAAGAAGAGTTTTTTTACATACACTGACATCTGTGTCTTAAGGCTCATACTGGCCCTTCTCCGTGTATTTTTTGAACTTCTGAAGCTTTTCATCTTTATTTTCTACAAAAAACATGTAACTTGTAAAAAAACTAAAAACAAAGAAAAAGCGAGATAAACAAAGAAAGAAACAGTAAGTCAACTTTGTTCAAAGAAAGATATAAAAGATATGAGAAAGATTTAAATGCAACTTACCGCCACGTACATCGTGATTATGGATTATTTGCTCCTTAAGACTGGTCAATCCGACAATCTTGTCAATTTCGTCGCGAGTTGGGCACCTTGTACCATGTGCAGCAACCATCCAGATCTGCACCGGTCGACAGTCTGTCAAAAGCGAAAGAAAGACGTACATTAGTAATCAAAACTTCACGCAATAGACCCAAGGAAATCAGTTTTGTTCTTGCAAGGAAAGTGCGCAATGTGTGACTAATTGATTTCGCCGAATCTTTTTGTATCGTTAGGTCGCTATGCCAAGTGTTGCAGGGTAAATGCATAAGACGCACTACTCAAGCGTTCACGAGAAAATCGCAATTAAAAATTTTCGAGCGACATAAGTAGATATATAAAATAGAGTGTTTTACTGAAGAACGCGTAGCTTAGCGGTAGCGCGCTAGACTAGTAGTGGCGATAGAACGAGTCTCGATGAAAAATTTTTTTTTTGAATACAATTAATTTGTATAATATACTGCAATTATTATTCAAAATAAATGTTATTTTGAATTAATTAGTATCAATTACTAAATTATTTATTGTGTTTATAATTAATAATAACATCGGAAGAATCAGTGCTATACGAATAAATGTGAAACATGTTTTATTTAACTGCAAGAAGGCACATTACATATTGCTGCATGAAAGAAGAAGAATGTTAAAAAGTGATCGATTTTTGCCCCGGTGTGGCAAGTAAAATTCGAGTAATTTTTTATAGATTTTTAGTCATAGAATCACATGGCAAAAAAAAATACCGAGACTCGAACCAGCAGCGTTCTACCGCCACTACTAGTCTAGCACGCTATGGCTGCGCCACGCGCTCTTCAGTAAAACACTCTATTTTATATATATATCTACTTATGTCGCTCGAAAATTTTTAATTGCGATTTTCTCGTGAACGCTTGAGTAGTGCGTCTTATGCGTTTACCTTGTAACATTTGGCATAGTGACCTATCGATACAAAAAGTTTTGGTAAAATCAATTGGTCACACATCGTGTACTCTCCTTGTTAGACCTTTGCGCCTATTCCGCGAATGTTTGATCGCTAGTGTACATAAATTAAATTACACGACAAAATATAGATTTGAACTTGACACAATTGCTTGCTTTTAACAGAAGTTTAACAGAAACAAATATAAAGTACTCACGCGGTATAGTTTGAAATCGGGTTTTGCCGCCGTGAACAAAATGATAGGCAGTCTTCGTTGCCATGTACAGATACGGATCATCTTCGTCCGCAAAGCAGAAATCGACATCGCGCGTAAACACGTAAACGCTCGAAAAAATCAGTAGCGATATGACCAGCAGTAACGAATTATTGCGCATTATTGTAGAGTTGTTGCTCCTGTGACGATGAGAATAGCAATAATATTGATAATATAATCTTATATTTTCATTGATATTTTATATATATGGGCAAATCCATCGTAGTTTTAACTTTTGATTGACTGTTTTATACTGATAAATCTGAGTTGTTTTTATATGCATAAGACGTATTTTTTCTTTGTATACTATCTAGTCATAACTATGTATAAAAATGCAGAGCGTTCGTGTCATTGCTGGCGTTTAAAAGTACACTAAGTCGGTAAAAATATAGAAAATCATACAATTTATTTTGTCTCTTTTGAATTTGTTTTTCACTCTTAATAACTTTGTACCTGCGCCGTGGTATATAACGCTTTCATAATACATAAAAAAGTTAGTTCTTGTATTCATACATCTTTTCTCTGGAGGTCGATTATGTGTCATGTAACCGTACAAAATGGTGACCGCTGAAAAACTTGTCTCTTCATTCTTGCAAAATATTAATTTTAGTAAAGTTAACAATATTACATACGCGCGGTTAATTGACTAACTGAGGTACTGATGTTGTAGCAAACATAACAACAAAAAATTTAAGACGGTGTTGAAAATTGTGCCTCACAAATAAAACACACATCAGAGTATCAAAGATTGCCTTCAAAAGCGTAAAGTCGTTGAAAAATCCACAAATCATCTTGACACATATTCTGAGAAAAATTAATTCAGTCCATATTAACTGTAAACTCTTTCGGTAATTATGCAGTTATACGGACTATTTTCCGATCTCAACAATTTTGACATATGTTATCAAGGTCACCTCCCTGAATAATAATATGAAGGTTTTAGCCGTCGCTCATTGTTTATAAAAAACTTATGAACAAAAAAAGTTTC